TTCGCTCGCAGATTGGTAAGTGATTTGCATGCTAGTCCGGGACGTTGGAAATGCCTCCCTGATTTCTACCATGAAGGGGGAAGAAATTAGATGATGACAGAATGTATGGGAAAGCTCTTTATAAGGCAGCAACAAAATATAGTTCTCTAGTCTCAACAGCAGACACAGTGAACAAAACCATTTCTAAAAGAGCCACGAGGCAAAGGAAAAGTACTTGCTTATGAAACTGGAATTATTAATAATGAGGTACAGCGATACACCAAATACCATAAAGATTCATTTTCTTGTATATACTGAGGTGCTGATATTATTTTTTTTTTTGAGAGAGAGAAAGTGAGGGCGTGCGCACGCGCACGTGCATCCATGAGCAGTGGGGGAGGGGCAGAGGGAGGGAGGGAATCTTGAGCAGGTTTCATGGTCAGTGTGAAGCCTGACACAGGGCTCCTGGGATCGATCTCATGACCCTGATATTGTAACCTGAGCTGAAATCAAGAGTGGAATGCTCAACCTACTGAGCCATCCAGGAGCACCAAAGTTTTTAAAGGCTCAGTTGGACTTACATGATCTTTTAAAAGACTCCGTTTCTTTTTGAATATAGCCTGTCTCCCATTCGCCCCTCTCTCCCTGTGTCTCCCTGAGACATAGCAGGTGCACAATGGAACTTCTCCTTCTGTCTTCCCACCCTGAACCATTCTTTCATCTCCTCCACCCCTTTCTCCCTTTCTGTATTTCATTCAAGGTGGTTTCCTCAACTATATCTTCCACTGCACTAATTTTCTCTTCTGATGTGTCTAATATGGTAATTTAACTTATTCAGTGAAATTGTAATGACTGCAATCTCCATTGTCAGACTTTCCATTTCTTTCCAAATCTGCCTATTCTTTATTTCCACGGCACTTTGTTTTGTTGCATGTTTTTTAAAGATCCGCTTGCTCATTCTATTTATTTTTTAGTGTCTGATTTTGTCATCTGTTGTTTTGGAGCTGATTTTTGCCTCTGATAACTCTACCATAAAGTAGCATTCCTTATGTACTTTGTAACATTTTTTTGTGGTGGTTATGAATTCATCTTCCATGGGTTTGGTTGCTTTTCTGAGAGATGGACTAAACCATGTCCTCCTCCCCAAACTCAAATATGTTGTAGTCTTAACCCCCAATGTGACAGTATTTAGACATATGACCTTTAAGGAGGTGATTTTTTTTAACATTTTTAAAAATTATCTGTATAATCAACATGGGGCTTGAACTCAAACCCTAAGATCAAGAGTTGCACGCTCTACCAACTGAGCCAGGGTGCCCCTTAAAGAGGTTATTAACATTAAATAAGGTCATAAGAGTAATCTGATATGACTAATGATGTCCTTATAAGATGTGGAAGAGACACAGGGGAGCCTAGGTGGCTCAGTAAGTTAAGAATCCAACTCTTGATTTGGCTCAGGTCATGATCTCAGGGTCTTTAGATCAAGCCCTGCTTAAGGCTCTCTCTCCCCCATTCCCTCTGCCTTCCTCTAAAAAAAAAAAAAAAAGAAAAGAAAAAAAATGCAAGACACACCAAGGATGTGCACACACAGAGGAAAGGCCATGTGAGAACACAGCAGGAAGCAGCTGTCTGCAAGCCACGCAGAGAGGCCTCAGGAGAAAGCAAACCTGCTAACATCTTGATCTTGGACTTCCAGCCTTATTCTGGTGCTTATTGCACCCAGCCTGGGGCATTTTGTTCTGGTAGCCCTAGTAGACTAGCCAGCTTCTGACCCAGAAGCTGTGAAAGTAACCTCACAGAATGCTCGGCTTCTGTCAGATTTCTGCAGGTTTCAAGGCTCTGGATGTATTTTTATGTTAATTTACTGGCTTAGAGAGTGCCTACCAAGAAATGGACTTACAGCTAGCTTTCTAGGCATATAGTATAAATTCAGACCTCTCAGGATGTGGCCTAGGTTGGTATCAGTTGCTCTCCAATGATGTCCCTTCTCTGGCTTGGGCACCATCTTGGGCTCAATTATAGCAAACATCCTTCTCCTTCCCTCAGCCAATGAGTGGAATTTTGCTAACTCTCCTGAGGCTCCAAGCTTTCTGCAGGGGACTGGCTTCAGCCTCCCTGCCCAGTGAGTCTACAGCCTTATTTTTTGCCCCCAGCTCTCCCTCCTCCTCTGCCCATCTTCATCCCCCATGGCCTTTACCCAAAGCAGAAACCCCCAGAGGTCCCTGCAGCATCGGCTTATACTTTTTGCTTAAGCTTTGGTTTCTTGCTTTCCTTCTGACATCTGGGCAATTTGTCGTTCCATTGTATACATCACTTCCATGAGTTTGTACTAGGAAGAAGTCTTTCCAATGGCATATTTGTCTGCCATGTTTGCTTTCTAGTGAGTACTAAAAGGTGGAGATTTTTCTCTAACATTCTAGAAGTAAATTTGTCTTCATGAAGTAGGACTAAATTTGTCTTCCTAGAGTAAGATTATGCGAGTTAGTTCGTAAATTCATCACAACTATTTTTTTAAAAGGTGATATTGTGGGTAGGAGATAAACTGATTCTAGGATGAGTAGCCTTCAATAATGGGATGGCGGCACTATCATCAGGGACCTTATTTCCAGACTTGACATCAGTCATACACACACACTTGCAGTTCTAGAGACAACAAATATAAGAAGTATATGTAAATAGAAAAGCAACAAAAAAGTCTTCATCTTTGCGCTTGTTATAATTACAAAGCCACCACCATCTTGTCAGCCTTTAGCACTACAATAGACTGAACGGTGGCCCCCCCAAATTCAAATGTTGAAACTCTGTCCCAATGTGATGGTATTTGGAGATGCAGCCTTTGGGAGGTACTCAGGGCTAGATGAAGTAGAGCATTTTGAGGTTAGAACCCTCAGAAGAAAATCAGTAGCTTTATAAGAAGAGGAAAACAGATCACTCTCTCCCTCTCAGCCATTTAAAGACACAGGGCAAGTCTATCTGCAAACCAGGGGGAAGGCCCTTCCTAACCAGGAACCGAATTCAGCTGGCACCTGGATCCTGGATTTCCCAGCCCCAGAACTGAGAAATAAATGTCCATCACTTAAGCCACCAAGGCCATGGTATTTTGTTAAAGCAGCCTGAGCAGACTAATACCTCCACATAGCATTCTATAGTTGGAATTCACTTTCTTACCCTCTGTTTTTACTTTCCCTACAAACTTACGAGGTAAGGTAATAAATGGTAGTTTGTGATTACCCAAATTCAGAGTATTTAATGTGCAGTCCAGTTTCGAGACCCATTTTCCCCATTTCGAGCTCTTCAGACTCTAACGTATTCTGAATTATTTTAAGTTTTCCCTCTCATTCAGCTATCTGAGGTTTGATTAAGATTAACGCATTCAACAGCCCACAGCACCAGACTTCATGCTGGGGGGTGTCAGATGATCTTACTGGTATGAAACCACCAATAAATGGCATGTCCTGGGCATAGGTCAAATGGGTGAAACGTGCATGCTGTCAGATGCTTGCAGCATTAAGCTTTCACTTAAACAACCTGGTTGGTGGGACGATGGAGAAGAAGCACAGTGCTTACGCAATCTCTCTCTCTCTCTTTTTTTTTTTTTTTTTTTTTGAGAGAGAGAGAGTATGCACATGCTTATGAGCAGCAGGGAGGCACAGAGGGACAAAGAGAGAGACTCTTAAGCAGGCTCCATGGCCAGGACAGAGCACTCCCCATCCAGGGCTCAATCTCACAACCCTTAGATAACTACCAGAGCTGAAATTAAGAGTCTGGCCACTGAAATGGCTGAGCCACCCAGGCGCCCCAGTACAATGCTCTCTTCTACTAAGTCATCATGAATTTCCATTGTGAAGTCTATTGTATGCACAGAATATGTCCATGTTTCCTGTAGCTCCAAATGAAGCTAATGAAGCTCCAAAAGGAACCAGGTGACTTTCTGCCTTTCTGCCTGTTCCATTCTATAGTTTCAACCTTACCAGTAAATCCAGCTGTCGTTAAAGGAGTCCTAGTGGGGCCTGGCTGGCTCAGTCAGTAAAGCATGCGATTTTTTTTTAAGATGTATTTATTTATTTTAGAGAGGAGAAAGAGAAAATGCATGAGTGGTAGGGGGTGCCGAGGGAGAGAGAGAATCCTTGAGCAGGGAGCATGACGTGGGGCTGGATCCAGGACCCTGAGATCATGACCTGAGCCGAAGTCAAGAGTCGGCTGCCTCACAGCGTGCGACTCTAGATCTCACAGTCGAGTTCAAACTCCACACTGGGGGTAGAGATTACTTTTAAAAAAATCATAAAGGAGTCCTTGAAGCTTTAAATTGGCTCATTCTTTCTACTTCCATTTGCAAAGCAAGTGACTTGGTTTAGTTACCCCAATGCCATTCAATTTCCGGAAATGATGACAAAGCAAGTAACACTGTAATTGCGTGAATTTCTTTGTAGAAGAGTTCTCTGCAGCCTGCCTCCTCCAGGAGGGGTCCTGGGCATCTCCTGGGGCTTCTCTATTGTAGCATCTCGGGGCCCACCCAGTCCCTACTGAATCGACGCCCACAATGTATCGAGATCCCAAGATGAGGATCACACTGGAGTCTGAGAAGCACTGGTTTACGGTTTACTGGTTTACGGTGTTCTCTCCACCTAATATAAAGTTACCTTTTTTGACTCATTAATAACATCTAGGGAACAAGATGAAAGCTTCCCTAGAAACCTACCTAACATGGCATTTTGATATTCTATTAACAATTAGGAATCACAGTAAGGTCTCCTTTTTCACATATAAGAAAACCTAATATTTAAGTCTATAAATGACTCAGAAAAACTGTTTCCATTTGGATTTAGTAGGAATGCGGCCCCACAATTGCTACATTGGAAGCAAAGAACTGCTTCCTTTCAGGTTAATGAGTTTTCCCTCGTCAGGCTGTCCTTCTCTCATGTAATCTAGACTTGCCACCACTTATTTATCTTTTTTTTATAACTGTTCTTCGTTTTAATAGGATTATGCATCCTCCCAAAATTAACAGCAATTAGACTCACCTCACAGCGCGTTATGCCAACTCACTCTGCGGCTGTCGGGGCAGGATGAGCTTACTCTTGTCTCAGTAACAGACTCTGACAACCAAAACAAAGCAGCAGGCAAAATACACGAAGAGAATTAACAATAAAGGATCACAGACGACAAGAACTTCTCACACATGATGGTTGCCTCCGCCTGTTCTACCCGCGTGGAAATAACGCTGTCCACTCTGCTAGGACTCAGAACACTGTGACACGGTCTACAAGCACGTATTTTTCAGAGAAGTTTTTAAAGACGACTCTTTAAAAGCCTTGGAAACATTAACATTCTATTTCCAAATCTAATCTATTTAATTTTATTGGAAAACATTTACGTAGCTCATCAGCACACTCTCCGGTACTGAGTAATATTTAGTATGCTGTAATCACAGGAAGGAGAGATTTAGATTAAATGCTGCTTTTTATTACTATTCAATCATCATAAGTTGTTCCACTTTTTATCTTTTTAGTCAACAGATTTCAAAGGTGGGAAAATATCTTCATTTGCAGACATACCTGTATTTATCTCCTATTATATTTTCCATTAGTGTCTACATGAGATTTATTTTCGGTGCTTTTCCAACAAAGTAAATGTGGATCTTCTAAAACCAGATGTTAATAATATAGACAAACACACTCTATCTCTTAGAGATGTTATGAGAATAAATTGGATAATATTTACATGGGGAATTTGACCTCACTAGAGATAGTATATAAATGAAATGTGAAAACAACAACAACAACAACAACAAAACTAAAGAACAAAACATTCCATTCAATTGTAGCCAAATTAACTTGACAGGACCAAATTATGTTCCGAGTAAAGGAAAGAGACCTACTAATAGTGCTCCTGCTGGTTGTGAAGAAATGTCAAATCCTAACAATCAATTCCAGGTCTGGCCGAAACCTTACACATTCAGTTTGGAGAGACACAAAACTACCTCCTTGTCTTTGTCTACATTTATTATACTCAGCATACCGGTAAAAGCCAGTATCCCAAAGACCATGACTGGTCTCTGCCTATGTTGGAGTGAATGATCAAAATTATTTTTAACCTCTTTCTACGTTTAGTAACATACAAGGATTGTTAATGTAGCACGGATATGAACAGAGGATTTAAAGACCTCTATAACATATATACATCTAGGCAAACAGTTTTTAATTTGTATTATCTAGAATCAAAAAAGAGCTTTTAGCAGGACAACGGGCAAAGAAGGAATCATACTTACTATTCCAGACTGAAAGGCCAAATTTTCTTAAAGTTACAGGGAAACTGTCATTTATATTCTCAGTATTATTTGAGGGACACTGGAAAGTCCCCCAATCCCACGTATTTTTCTAACATCCTGCCACAATGACCCAAACTCTACCATTTTAAATGTGTCTCAAGTGAGTGGGTGGCTCAGTTAAGTGTGTGCTTTTGGCTCAGGTCATGGTCTCAGGGTCCTGGGATCGAGCCCCTCATCAAGCTCCCTGCTCTGTGGGGAGCCTGCTTCTCCCTCTCCCTCTGCCACTGCCCCTGCTTTTGCTCTCTCACTCTTTGTCAAAGAAATAAATAAAATCTTTTAAAGAAAAATGCTTCTGAGTTAAGAAATGGCTCCATATTCATAGAAAAGGGCAAAATTAAAAATTGCAGGATGATAAAGACACGCAACGATGTAATAAACTAACACATACTGCATACCTACTATGAGCCAGACACCATTTTCCATGCTTTACCGGAACTATCTCATTTAATTCCCACTTCAGCGCTATAAAATAGGTGTCATTGTTATTCCAGCATTCAAGCTACGGTACAGGGAGGTTAAGAAGCTTGCCCAAGATTACACAGACTACAAATGGCATAGCTGGACCCCCACCCTGGCAGCCTGACTCTAGATTCCTGCTGGGAACCAACAGGTCTACCTACAAGTGTAGGAGTTAGCACTATACAATACGTTACTGGCTTTTAACAAAACATATTTATTTATTTAAGTAATCTCTGTGCCCAACATCAGGCTTGAACTCACAATTCCAAGCACGAAACTCCTGCACCCAGGTCGCCCCTACATTACCGTTTTAAAACGAATCAAACGATACTTTGCAATGATGGATACAAAGAGAAAAAATGTGAAAGCTGAAAATGTTTACACTGTGTTTAGAGCCATTGTTGCCTTTTTTCCAGGAAAGCCCAGATTTCGTGTTAGGGAAAGCCTTACCTTTCCATTTTGAACAGAAGACTCATGAACAGCAAGCACTCATCGTAGCATCTTCTTGGGTTGAAACCTTGCACCAAGAAGGCAGTACTAGATACCATGCCCAACGGAGAGCTCCGTTGTGGAGCCTCGGGTGGAAATTGGACATGCAACATGGAGATGAACTCAGAGATGTAAATTTCAGAGGATCTTCCATCGCCTGAGGTGAGTAACTGTATAACATGACGGCTAACTTCTGTAGCTAAGAGGCCACCATGAATCTTTAAATGCATAACAGCTTCTTGATACATACAATGTAAAAAAGGCCTTCAAAATTGTTCTCTGATGTCCAAAGTAGGTGCTGTCCATGTTTTTTGTTTTGTTTTCGCCCATAAAACACAGTTTTTAAAAAGAGATGAACTGATATTCTGGTTTCCCTGCTCCTAACAGAACACCGTAATATGGTTAAGTACAGACTTTTCCGTAGCAACAGAGACTGTGTATCAGGTATGAACCCTATGTATCTCCCTTGAAGAAAGCTTTAAGGTTATAACAGACAAATTCAAAATAAAGCCTATGATCCCATCACCCTGAAGCCTGCTTCCCCAATGAGCTCAAGAAAGGATTCATTGACAAATGACTCACCATGGCTTCCTATAGCTCATTTCTTTGCCTTCCTTTTTCTTTAAATGGCACTTCAGCCTTAATAGTTACAAAGGTTTCAAGAGAGGGGACTAGCGCCACCTGAAAAAGAGAAGCCAAAAATCCAATACAATCATGGTTTGCACAAGTTCAGCTCTGGGCTTACTGAATAGCACTGAGGGGGTAGTGGTTTCTCTACCTCGAGACCAAAGGCATTCATTCCCGCCACCTTTCACTGCTTTATTTAGTGCCTTTCCACTCTCTGAGCATTCCGTGAACCCTGACTGACCGCCTGTTAGCTCTATTTCTAAAATCAGTATTTTGCATAAGGGGAAAGGTAACCTGGTGGGGACGAGATCTTGAAATGTTTTCCTAAGTATGAATAAGAAACACGCTAGGAAGCCACGGAAAGTAGTGGCTAAAGGAAGTGCAAACTGGGCTTACACGGATATCGTTGCATATGCAAACTATAATTACATCCCCCGAACACTTGCCTGGGTAGAGTGGGTCCCTCCATTTGCTCACCCCAATTAGGCAGGGGGCACTGCCTAGGGCCGGAGAGTAATCTATCCACTATTGTTTTGGTGTGGGGGAAAAGTGACTGCTCTGTGCGGGGAACACTGGGCTTTGTTTTTAGCATGCAGAGCTAGGCTGGCGGACGCTATTGATTGTGCTTGGGAGAGAGGAAGTTAATGATATGTTATGAGTTTATGTACTATATTTCATCCCTATTCGGGTTTAAACAGCATCCTCCTCCAAATATTCTACTCTAAAGGTTGCAGGCTGAAAAGTGAAACAGATGGTCCAGTTTTATATTTCTTTTCCTTTAGAATTTCTTATGCAGCTCAGGGACCTCATTCTTCGGGGATCTCAAATTATATTTCAGCCCATTAAATGTGTATCAGTTTTGATACTCAGATGGTGCATAAGAACGATTCAAAATCCGCATGGCCACAGCCTTTGCTGGTTCTTAGTATGCCCTGTGCTGTTCATTTTAATTGAAAATATTCTAAAAGCAAGATTGATGTGTTTTCTATCCCCCTAAAATAGAAGCAGGTTCTGGGCTCATAATTGAGCACTCATAAGGCCCCTCTCCTTATTAACATGCCCTCTCTAATTTGTGCCTCTGTTTGTACAATATAAATGGCCTTTAACGGCCCTTCACTCATACAATGGTCTCACTAACCCAAAGAAAATTAGTAGCAGGCAAAAGCCTATTTTTACTGACACAGAGACAAAAATGCTAATTACCTTAAAATATTCTCAAGTGTATATCTTTGGCATCCTTCCAGGCAAGGCTCAAAAGTTTTTTTTTTTTTTTTTCCCTCTGTTATTTACTAGTTATAGGGAAAGTTGTTTTTGTTTTATATTCAGGCTGATACATAAGTAGGTTTATATTTATAATTAGAAATCTTTATTTGTGGTCCAGAGTACTGGTGATAGGTAAAGCATTTGGTTTGCTTTCAACCTGCTCATGCGTACACTTGAGAGAGTTGCCCATTTTGATAATTATGTTTTGTGCTATTTTTGTTAAGGCACTTGGAGACATTTGCAGAAAAATTATAATACCTAAAAATCTGAATTTATTTGAACATATTAACCACCACAAACTATTAATGTTTCCCTGGAATCTCTTTTAATCCTTTTCTGATAATTAAATTTGTTTGTCCATGTTTACTATCTGAAGCACTCCTTCAGCTCCAAAATGGTTTTAAAACTGAAACCCTGGATGTACAAAATAAGTAATAATCAAGAAAATTAAATGCGACTCACTAAATTATAATACCAGGTGTGCTGATGATACTGATATACAGAAAATGAGCTTTTCATCATTTATGTGACAAATTCTTATTGAGGAGATATCTTTAGAATATCTTGCTAGGTCTGGCTTATAAAAAGAAATAAATAAGAAATAAAAAAACTTCCTTGAGGAAGTTTCAAAATCAAGTTTGGAGGAAAAAGATGTATTTGTACTAAAAATTAAAGAAGTACAGACATATAGTAACATTGGAAGGCAACAGAATAGGAGAGCACATATGTCGGTGAAAGATGAAATGGTAATTAATGACAAAAAACAAGTAGGGTCTAGCTCAATAATAAGCAATCAACCCAGTTTTTAAAACTAGGCAAAAGATCTGAATAGAGATTTCAAAAAAAAAAAAAAAGATATACGAATAACACACACGTGAAAAGATGCTCAACATCATTAACTGTTAAGGAAATACAAATCCAAACCATCACGAGACATCACTACACACCCACCAGGATGGCTGTCATCAAAAAGACAGATAGTAACAAGTGTTGGCAAGGATGCAGCGGTGACGTCGGAACCCCTGCACATTGCTGATGGGAATATAAGATGATATGGCCACTTTGGATAACAGATGGGCAGTTCCTTAAAAATGTAAACATAAACTTACCATAAACCCCAACAATTCACTCCTAGGAATCCACCCAAGAGAAATGAAAACAGATGTCCAGACAAAGATACGTACGTGAATGTTCATAGCAGCATTTTTCGAATAGTCAGACACTCAAAACAAACCAAATGTTAATGGAATAGTATTCAGCAATAACAAGGAACCAAGTACCGACATATGTTACAACATAGATGAATGTCAAAAACATAAACTATATGAAGGAAGCCAGATCCAAAAGATTCCTTTCATGTGAAATGTCCAGAAAAGGCAAATGTATAGAAACAGTTGGCGTGTCAGTGTTTTCTTGGGGCCGGGGTGTGAAAAGGGATAAACGGCAAATGGGCAAACGGGAATTTACTGGGGTCATGGAAAGGTCCTAAAACTGGATTCTAGCGATGGTTGCACGACCCTATACACTTACTCAAAATCAATCAGTGTGCACTCACGGTGAGCGAATTTTAGGGTATGTAAAATCTACATCAATAAAGCTACTGAAGAAAAAACCAGGTTAAGTGTCCTACGTTTTCATAAGAGTGGGTGGAAGCAATAATCTGAATTTTTGGTCTTTGCTTTCATGCTGAAATGTAACTCAAACATGTACCTATACCAATAAATGGGAAGAGATCGTCACAGTTTGCAACGTCCCTTACAATTTTCACCCAATTTGCTCTTCGCATCAATCCTGCGGGGCAGGGCAAGCAAGTGTTCCAGGATCTACACTAAGCGCTACTCTTTTTCCTGAGGAAACTTCAAATGCTGTATCAATGATGTCATTTAAAAACCGAGGCCATCCTATTTATAACATAATCTGAATAAGCCAGGTAACAAATAACAAACAGGACATTACCCCAAGTACCCCCAGATGCTTTTCCAAAGTTGAGAGTCTTCCATTTGCCAAACTGTACAGAGCAACAGGGAACCCCCGCCGGGAGACTCACTCCTCTCACTCCACTCGCGGTTGACAGACGTGTGCCTCACGGAAGCCTGTGCTGCTTGGTCTCTCGGAAGCATGTGCATTTACACAGACTGAAATGCATGTCGTATCACTGTATATACAACTAGGCACACAACGACTAACATAAGCGAAGATGCCAAAAAGCCAAAAATGGAAACCATCGTATCGATCTGGTTCACAGCGAATCCTCCTTCAGTATTTCTCTTGAAAGCCCAGAAGGAGCAAAAACAAACGAATCCAACGTCGGCTGAAGCAGAAAATGACATGTTTAAGGAATGGGACTTATAAACAAAATGTCCAATTAGGTCATTTGGAAAGGCATGTGGAGTAGTTACAAATATGCTTAGACGAGTTCAAAACCACACGAAGCTCCCTTATTTCGATCATGGGTGTGTGACACAAACTCAGAGTCCTCTGCCACCAGTGCAGGACTGAAGGTTGGCCCATGGGATGAGCTCTCCCCACTTTCTGCCCAGGGAGTTAGGTGGGAAAGGAGCTCTCGATGCAGACAGTGGCCCAAGTCAGCTACACCAGAGTTTCAGCCTCCCCGTCCCAGTCTTGCGTTTGCTGATGAGTTTCAGTATACGCTACGCAACCCACCCCCCTTCCCAAAGAAGGCGCAGATGCTTGGCGTACCTTAGTGTTCTTTGTCTCCCCACATGACCTCCTAAAATCCTTTTGCAGTGACTTGTGTTTCTTAAGGACGTTTCCAGGATCTGTGATCTAAGATGAGCTGTGCCTCCTGATTATGACTTCAGACTAGCTGAGCCTAAACAAACGTACAAATCATCGGTTTCAGTTGATGGTTCTTTTGATATTTGCAAGCTGTAAAAATTTCATATAAATGTGTGCAATGCATCCCACAGGGTAGCAGAAAAAGCATAGGACTCAGGCCAAGAGACTTGTGCTGGGGTCTGGAATGAACTCGTGTGACCTTGGTGATCTCCCTCAACTTCCAAGACCTCAGTGGTCTCAACTGCAAATAAATCACCTTTTCTGGATGAAAGAGCCTTAAAGTTCTAATCATAAGTTGACAATCATTTCTTGAGATGCTATGGTTATTTGACAACATAGAAATACTTAGCTCAATAATTTCATCGAGGTCATGTGCCTCTTGGCCTAACATGCCTCCGGCCTGGTCTGAACTGCCAGGACACAACTGAGAATCTAAAAATTCACAGACACAGAATCCATCTGCCCTAGGATAAAATGCCACAGAAGTTGCAGTTTGAGGGGAAGAATGATGAAGACGGGAACCAGATATGAATTGAATGGTACTTCACAGACACATACGGTTACAAGGAAGAGGTATGTCATCCCCAACAGGCTTTTATTTATTTTCTTTTTAATGAGTCTGACAATACTTCACTGGCTTTCACGGTCCCCCATGCCCTGCTCTTCCTCAAAAGTGCTTCTGTGGCCCTTCCGAGGGTTGAAAGCCCTAAAACCTGTTCCCCCATTGCCCCCTCAACCCTTTTTGTTTTTATCTGTTTCATTTATTTGTCTTCTACTCAATAGTTTGTTCAAGAAAGAGCGCACAGATCAACCTCATCTGAAAACCACCTGATCATCAAGGTAAACGATTTCACTTAAATGCTGTACTTTCTAAAAAGTGTTATATCTACCGTTTAAAACAGAAGTCATCTCATAAGTGGTTCCAGCAAAGACTAATGGCTAGAAAGTAATTTTTCATTTATGGTTTTAGAAAAGACTATAAATGACATGCTATATTTAATTTTAGAGTCCCTGTGCACATCATTACATACTTTAATAACTATACAAATATTAATATTTGATACAAGGGATCTTCTAAATTATGGCACAATCATCACTCTGGATTGATAGAGTGCGAAGCGGGAAAACCCTGTTTAGACCATCGTAGGAGGACAGAGGGCGTTTAATGAAACAAGTTTGATGGTCTGGTCATCATGACACTGGTGCATATTTGGTGCAACTGAATCTTTGTCAAAAAGAATTTTGGGAAGAGAAACAATCAGGAACTTCGATTGCTTCCTCCAACCCTCATCCCCCTCCCCCCACCCCTGTGTCCCGTTCACCCATCTTTTCTATGAATGGTCCCTTGGTCTGCTGGTTATAATAAGTTCTTTCTGCACCATGATTCAAGTAGTTAAGAACTGGCTGTCACATTATTTTTTAAGGACACATCAATGTGGATTTGTAAGGGTGTCCTGAGGATGAAAGTGATATTGTCAAAACAAACATTCTGCACAAATCTAAGCTGATCCCAAAGACAGCAACTAATTCTCACTGTTTTCTGTTTCCCTTATCTTTATGGGGAATCCGATTCCCTAATGTTTCTATATTTCCAGCAAAATAGTTGTCCGAGTCCTAAGTAAAAGACTACCCCACTTTGAATATCACTGACTTTTCTAATTGGTCTGATTGACCCAGAGAACGTAACCAAAGAGTAAAAACAAAACGCAATGTGAGGGCCATTCCCCCATGCTTCTGAATCTCTTTATCACCCAGATAGGTTCTTTGTTACGGAGAGATTTTATAAAAAATAAATAATTTCAGCCAAAGGGCTTTCTCATTTCTGTTCCCTGAAAGTCTGTATTTTCCCCATAATAACAGATGGATTTAGATTCCTCTATAAGATGCTTTGGGGACCACTGAGATATAAAAATGACCAGTCTATTGGAATAAAGCAGAAAGGGGTGCTTTCCTCTTTGCAGAAGGCCCTCCAGGAAATAACAGGAAGTGGAAGAGCAGCTGGTGTCACCATGACACTCACTACAGAATGTCTTGGAGAGTCATGAGAATGGGAGTCATTTCTCAGCTGTTTGCAAACCCCATGGAGCTGACAGCATGATACACTCATCAGTTTGGCCTTGTCTATCTTTTGGGTCTGGCTTCCGGTAGGTTTAGATCACAGTACAAAGCAGAGTGGGAGAGAGTTCCTTTATTTTGGATGGGTGGTTCACTTACTCCTACTTTCTCTTTTCGTTTTCTTCCCGCAATATAGCCTCGATTTTTTCTAGGTCCCCATCTCTTCAAAAGGCCGACGTTCATAAACACCAACAAACTTGCTCCATAGGGAGCTGATATTTCCATGGTTCACACTCCCACCTACTTTTGTCCTTGTTATTATGGGAACCTGATTTGAGTGGGCAGACAGATAGTCCAGAACAGGATCTGGTGTGATTGTGGGGCCATCCCGGGGCTTTGGAACGAAGCCACCTTAAGTCCCCACCCTTCTGTTGCTCTATGTTCCCCTCCTGTCTCAACCTACATGCACGGCCCAGGGTCTCTGTGTTCGCCCTGGGGAAACGGTCCGGCACAACCTGGAAAATTATACCAAATGGCATCTCTGCAACCAGGTTTCAAAAACACGTCGGTTGCTACAGCGGCAGAACATTTGCAAGCTGACAGGCCAGAGGGGAAAAACAGGAATTACCAACTATCCCCAACACCATAACTGTTGTAAGAGTCTTAGAAACAGCTCTTTTGCTGGAAATGCAAAAACATGAGAGAGTTGCGACAAAGTAGGGTTCCACATGAAGATAAGGAAAGCAGAACAGCAAGAATTAATTGCTTTCTTCAGGATCAACTTAGATCTGTGCAGAATGTTCATTCTGACGATATCCTATCACTTTAATCCTAAGGACTCCATCCAAATTGGTGGCAAAGCTCTGAAGCATTGCTTCTCTTTGAACATTAGCTCGCCAGGCTACTGCCGATGAGAAGGGGGGAGGTGGGGTGGAGGAGGGAGTGAACAGGTCTCCCACACCCGCAGCCCCCAGTTCACAGTGCCTGCTTTCCTCCTCATTCAAGGCCAGCCTGATACTCAGCCGGGAAGCCTTGTGCCCTGGGACTTTTGCTACAAAAGGCAGGCGACACCACATAGCTCTAAGTGGCAAACTTGCCGGACTGCTCCTGCCGCAGAGAAGAAAGTTCCACAAACAACCCCCAGCTCCCTCCAGCCAGGTCTCGTTACACCTGGTTTCCCAAGAGCCGACTGCTTAGCCGACCTTAATAATCTCAGAGGAACGCAGGGGCAGGAGGCGGGATTCCAACTCCCTTTGCCCTAATTTATGGAGGTCTTTAGAAGTAGAAAATAAAACTTTGAACTCAGCTCATCTGAAACTTTATGATTCAGGTGTCCCACTTGCCTTTAGGGGCACCAAAGATCACTGAAGTTAGAGACGCGAAAACTTCTGGGAGCTGCAGAACAGGAAAGCGTGTCCAGACCCGACCCAGCTGGTTCTCGTACCACATTCACTTGGCAAGAGGAGCAGAAGGCCGGCTCTGCCCTTGTCCTGCTCTGATGGCTAGCATCTCCCTTCCCCACCTTACCCTTTAATCCTCTGTCCTCGACAGTCTTCCTGCGGCTAGGAAGAAGTGACCCTGTGGCCAAGGGAGCAAAAAGACAGAGAGAAAGGAGAGGGAAAGAAGGAAATGAAAGCAGCTTCGGATAAAGGGTTGCAGAGAAAAGGAAGTCAAGGGTGAAGGCATTTCCATTCCCTAGTATGGAAACCTGGGTTTTAAGGAGCAGGTCCTGCAAGGTGCTGGTCTGGGTGACTTTACACCAACAACACAGCCTAGGAAGGCCTTCTGCTTGTCTGCCTGGGCTTTTTGTTTTAATATTTATTTATTTTAGAGAGCAAGAGCGAGCGGGGGAGGCGGGGGTGGGGGGAGGGAGAGAGAATTTTAAGCAGACTCCCCGCTGAGCAGGACCCCCCCCCCCAACACACACAGGGGTCTGGATTTCAGAACGCTGAGATCATGACCTGACCCCAAACCAAGAGTGGGGAGCGTAACCCACTGAGCCACCCAGGCGCCCCCCTGGGCAAGTATTTGCAGCAACCCCACTGGGCTGTGTGAGGACTCAGCCAATTTTTGTGCATGTGCCCAGTCTGGGGCGCCGTCCTGGTGGGTGATGAATTTAATTCTGAAAGTGAGATCCCATAATTATTCAACCGAAAGCAATTTAGTGAAATTTAGAAAAATTTTACAGTAGATGTGGTCCTTTCAGTTACAGGGAAAGCCAGGCCCCAAAGGAAGGGGCGGGTTTTGGCCTCGGCTCAGGTGAGGTAGACTTCTCTCCTCTGCCCTAGGAAGTCGAAGCTTCCAGGCTGTTCCGGAGGCGGACCTCGCTCTTCTCCTTGGGGACGCCTGGAGCAAGGGCCGCCTTCAGACCATCCTTGCGGCCGAATTCGGCTGCTAAGCACGTTCCTCGGACAGGAGGCGCCCTTACTGGCA